CCCCCCCCCCCCCCGTGTGCAGCTTAAATAGGGTCTATTTGGAAGCTGGGAATCGTATTTACAAGAGGAAAACAGGCCCCAAAACGTATACTTATTCACAAGAGCCATGTTCTAAATAGACCCTATTTTAGGTCCTGTAGGGTTGCACAGACAGAATTTAATTCATTAAATTCCTTAATTTCCACTTTCCCCCTGGAATTTAATGAATTTAATCAATTAATTCAACTAATTCATTTATTTCCAAAGGGGGGGTGGAATTAATTGAATTAGTTGAATTAATTGAATTAATTGAACCCCCCCCCCCTTTGGAAATAAATGAATTAATTGAATTAATTGAATTAATTGAATTAATTGAAGTAATTGGAATTAATTCAATTAATTCAATTAATTCCACCTCCCCTTTGGAAATAAATCAATTAATTGAATTAATTGAATTAGTTGAATTATTTCGATTAATTCAATTAATTCAATTAATTCATTTATTTCCAAATGGGGGGGATTCCCCAGCCCCCACCCCTCCCCCCCCTTTGGAAATAAATGAATTAATTGAATTAATTGAATTAGTTCAATTAGTTCAATTAATTCAATTAATTCAATTAATTCAATTAATTCAATTAATTCATTTATTTCCAAAGGGGGGGTGGAATTAATTGAATTAATTTAATTAATTGAATTAATTGAATTAATTCAATTAATTCAATTAATTCAATTAATTCAATTAATTCATTTATTTCCAAATGGGGGGGATTCCCCAGACCCCACCCCCCCCAGCTCGATTTGGCCAAATTTTGCCCGGAGGCTGCCCGGCAAAATTTGGCCAAATCGAGCCGCGCCTTTCTGGAGGCCCGAAATTATTTAAACTATCGCGGCTCGATTTGGCCAAATTTTGCCGGGCAGCCTCCGGGCAAAATGTGGCCAAATCGAGCCACGCATTTCTCATCGCATACGAAGGGCAGCCCGATTTGGCCAAATTTTGCCCGGAAGCTGCCCGGCAAAATTTGGCCAAATCGAGCCGCGATAGTTTAAAAATTTCGGGCCTTCAGAAAGGCGCGGTTCGATTTGGCCAAATTTTGCCCGGAGGCTGCCCGGCAAAATTTGGCCAAATCGAGCCGCGCATTTCTCATCGCGTTCGACGAGCAGCCCGATTTGGCCAAATTTTGCCCGCAGACTGCCCGGCAAAATCTGGCCAAATCGAGCCGCGCCTTTCTGGAGGACCGAAATTATTTAAACTATCGCGGCTCGGTTTGGCCAAATTTTGCCGGGAAGTCTGCGGGCAAAATTTGGCCAAATCGAGCTGCTCGTCGTACGCGCTGAGAAATGCGCGGCTCGATTTGGCCAAATTTTGCCGGGCAGCCTCCGGGCAAAATTTGGCCAAATCGAGCCGCGCATTTCTCATGACATACGAAGAGCAGCCCGATTTGGCCAAATTTTGCCCGCAGGCTGCCCGGCAAAATTTGGCCAAATCGAGCCGCGATAGTTTAAATAATTTCGTTCAATTAGTTCATTCATTTCCAAATGGGGGGGATTCCCCAGCCCCCACCCCCCCCCTTTGGAAATAAATGAATTAATTGAATTAATTAATTAATTGAATTAATTGAATTAATTGAATTAATTGAATTAATTCAATTAATTCAATTAATTCAATTAATTCATTTATTTCCAAAGGGGGTGGTGGAATTAATTGAATTAATTGAATTAATTGAATTAATTGAATTAATTGAATTAATTGAATTGATTCAATTAATTCAATTAATTCTATTAATTCAATTAATTCAATTAATTCAATTATTTCCAAATGGGGGGATTCCCCAGCCCCCACCCCTCCCCCCCCTTTGGAAATAAGTGAATTAATTGAATTAATTGAAATAATTGAATTAATTCAACTAATTCAATTAATTCCACCTCCCCTTTGGAAATAAATGAATTAATTGAATTAATTGAAATTCAACTAATTCAATTAATTCAATTAATTCATTTATTTCCAAAGGGGGGGGGGGTGGGGGCTGGGGAATCCTCCCCATTTGGAAATAAATGAATTAATTGAATTAATTGAATTAATTGAAATAATTGAATTAATTCAATTAATTCAATTAATTCCACCTCCCCTTTGGAAATAAATGAATTAATTGAATTAATTGAATTAATTGAATTAATTCAATTAATTCAATTAATTGAATTAATTCATTTATTTCCAAAGGGGGGGGGGGTGGGGGCTGGGGAATCCCCCCCATTTGGAAAAAATGAATTACTTGAATTAATTGAAATAATTGAATTAATTCAATTAATTAAATTAATTCCACCTCCCCTTTGGACATAAATCAATTAATTGAATTAATTGAATTAATTCAATTATTTCAATTAATTCAAGTAATTCATTTATTTCCAAATGGGGGGTGGGGGCTGGGGCATCCTCCTCCCCCCAATACTAAACCACGAGCCCGGGCCTCCCCCCAATACTAAATCACGAGCCCGGGCCTCCCCCCAATGCTAAATTACGAGCCCGGGCCTTCCCGCAATACTAAATCACGAGCCCGGGCTTTCCCCCAATACTAAATCACGAGCCCGGGCTAAATCACGAGCCCGGGCCTCCAAATTACGAGGCCGGGCCTCCCCCCAATACTAAATCACGAGCCCGGGCCTCCCCCCAATACTAAATCACGAGCCCGGGCCTCCCCCCAATACTAAATCACGAGCCCGGGCCTCCCGCAATACTAAATCACGAGCCGGGCCTCCCCCCAATACTAATTTACGAGCCCGGGCCTCCTCCCAATACTAAATCACGAGCCCTCCTCCCCCCAATACTAGGGCACAGTTTTTGCTCCAAAAAGTGACATCGCAAGCCCTGGTCCCTAAGATTTTGAGTTCATTTCTTGCCCCAAAGAGTAACATCGCAAGCCCTGGTCCCTAAGATTTTGGGCTCATTTCTTGCCCCAAAGAGTAACGTCGCAAGCCCTGGTCCCTATTATTTGGGGCCCAGTTTTTGCTCCAAAGAGTCAAATCGCAAGCCCTGGTCCCTAAGATTTTGGACTCAGTTTTTTGCTCCAAAGCAAGCCCTGGTCCTTAAGATTTTGGGCTCATTTCTTGCTCCGAAGAGTCAAATCGCAAGCCCTGGTCCCGAAGATTTCGGGTTCAATTTTTGCTCCACAGAGTCAAACCGCAAGCCCTGGTCCCTAAGATTTGGGGCACAGTTTTTGCTCCAAAGGGTCAAATCGCAAGCCCTGCTCCCTAAGATTTTGGGCTCATTTCTTGCCCAAAAGAGTGACATCGCAAGCCCTGGTCCCTAAGATCTTGGGCCCAGTTGCTCCAAAGAGTCAAATCGCAAGCCCTGGTCCCTAAGATTTTGGGCCCAGTTTTTGCTCCAAAGGGTCAAATCGCAAGCCCTGGTCCCTAAGATTTTGGGTTCAATCTTTGCTCCAAAGAGTAACATCGCAAGCCCTGGTCCCTAAGATTTGGGGCCCAGTTTTTGCTCCGAAGAGTCAAATCGCAAGCCCTGGTCCCTAAGATTTTGGGTTCAATTTTTGCTCCAAAGAGTGACATCGCAAGCTCTGGTCCCTAAGATTGGGGGCCCAGTTTTTGCTCCAAAGAGTGACATCGCAAGTCCTGGTCCCTAAGATTTTGGGTTCAATTTTTGCTCCAAAGAGTGACATCGCAAGCCCTGGTCCCTAAGATTTGGGGCCCAGTTTTTGCCCCAAAGAGTAACATCGCAAGCCCTGGTCCCTATTATTTGGGGCCCAGTTTTTGTTCCAAAGAGTCAAATCGCAAGCCCTGGTCCCTAAGATTTGGGGCCCAGTTTTTGCTCCAAAGAGTGACATCGCAAGTCCTGGTCCCTAAGATTTTGGGTTCATTTTTTGCTCCAAAGAGTGACATCGCAAGCCCTGGTCCTTAAGATTTTGGGTTCGTTTTTTGCTCCAAAGAGTGACATCGCAAGCCCTGGTCCCTAAGATTTGGGGCCCAGTTTTTGCTCCAAAGAGTCAAATCGCAAGCCCTGGTCCCTAAGATTTTGGGTTCATTTTTTGCTCCAAAGAGTGACATCGCAAGCCCTGGTCCCTAAGATCTTGGGCCCAGTTTTTGCTCCAAAGAGTCAAATCGCAAGCCCTGGTCCCTAAGATTTTGGGTTCAATTTTTGCTCCAAAGAGTCAAATCGCAGGCCCTGGTCCCTAAGATTTTGCATTCATTGTTGCTCCAAAGAGTGACATCGCAAGCCCTGGTCCCTAAGATTTTGGGCCCAGTTTTTGCTCCAAAGAGTCAAATCGCAAGCCCTGGTCCCTAAGATTTTGGGTTCATTTTTTGCTCCAAAGAGTGACATCGCAAGCCCTTGTCCCTAAGATTTTGGGCCCAGTTTTTGGTTCAAAGAGTCAAATCGCAAGCCCTGGTCCCTAAGATTTTGGGTTCAATTTTTGCTCCAAAGAGTCAAACCGCAAGCCCTGGTCCCTAAGATTTGGGGCCCAGTTTTTGCTCCAAAGAGTCAAATCGCAAACCCTGCTCCCTAAGATTTTGGGCACAGTTTTTGCTCCAAAGAGTCAAATCGCAAGCCCTGGTCCCTAAGACTTTGGGTTCAATTTTGCTCCAAAGAGTGACATCGCAAGCCCTGGTCCCTAAGATTTGGGGCCCAGTTTTTGCGCCAAAGAGT